GAGAATTGTATCGTCCACGTGATCTTACAAGAACACGTCATAAAAGGGCGTGACATCGGTCATGGGCGGGATGTCAGCTACCTCACGAGCCTCTACCGTCTACTTTCACACAATTTCGAACAGCAAAAGTGAGACACCGTAGATGGGGCCGCACAGGACTTACACAACCCAGGCAATCGCGAAATGTGCCAATACTCGTCCTGTCTAAGGCAGTAACCATGAAGTGTGCGATGCAGTAGTGCAGTCGCACAACACGACCGCTCGCACTTCATAGTTACTGCCTTGCTTACGACTGTATATATAGGAATCATGACTGCACCTCAGAGAAATAAGTGTTACACTAGGGCCGTACCTCATTTACCTCGGTTCTTCAAACACAATAGGAAATCATTGGTACAGAAAAAACACTTTCGCGCTAAATGAATCATACCTGCCGCCCTTGTATAATGAGTAAAACTCACTTCCTAAAGCTGTAAAGAGTTTAGAAAATCCGATATATATTTAGTGAGAGAAGTTCTGGGAAGAAGATATGAATTCACCGCGTCAGGACAGTGAAAGAAGGAACTAAAACCCACAATAGAACAACAACGAGGTCTTATAAAGGGAACACTTACCAAGTCGAAGTCGATCTGCATATGAAGTCGCCTTGTTCATTACACCAGGAGATTTCGCTACGATGATCGCATTTTTGTAGTCGGGAATCTATAGAAGTACAACGTTTTTAGGTTTGGTTACTCTGCGTTATACGTGAAAACAACTAGGGCACGCAATGGAGATCAAAGGAGCAATCAATGCCAACCGCACCGCGACCGCTTGCATTTGAAAAATTTCCTACTTCAATACATTCTGCATAAAATGAGATAATAAATGTACTCACATATTCTTTGATATACTGGAGAAGAAATGGTGACGCACGGAGATTATCCACAGGAATCGAAAAGAATCCTTGAATTTCTTTTTTGTAAAGATCCAAAGACACCAAACGTGATGCACCTGAACAATTACAATATAGCTAGAGCAAAAACAGATACCAGGCGATTACTACTTCAATCTGTTCTCCACGCTCCATGCCATCTAGACTGGCTTAGGCAATTGTGCGACGGATTTCTCTGATTGCTTGGTCGTGGGTGAAAGCCAATCATAAGCTGGCATGGCGTTATGTTGCCTCGTTTTGAAGAAGCAAAGTGTCTATCACTCACCAGCACGACAAATCATTTCTGCAATAAGCTTCATGGGAATCGATGATCGACGTAGCATACGGCATTGCTTCGAATACGGCAGATACGGCATCATTACCGTGATCGTTTTTGACATCGACGTCTTACAAGCGTAGATAAGAATTAGCAATTCCATAACATCATTATTTACGTTCCTGGAAATATTGAAATTTCAAATTTTACCTGGTGGACTCATTCTGAACTGGAAAGATGAACAAATGGGAGTAATTGTTTAGGCATTGTTCACAGTCTGCGGTCCAGCGTTTCTCTGGAACGCGGCGGTTCGGCGAAAAGCTTTCGATACGTATCGACTGGCGGTTGGGCGAAGAGCCTGGCGGTTGGGCGAAAGGGTTTTGATACGAATCGACG